CACTCGTTCCTGTTGTAGTGAGCAACTGATATCCACCAATCTGCCTTGCTCTTAACATATCGCAGGATAATGTTTTCAATAGGAGCGGGCAGACCCGGTACCTTCCATGGAATGTTACTCTTCCAGCATCTCCAGGCCTCTGATAGATGTTGAAGAACAGTATTGACTTTGTTCTGTTTAATACCTTCAGGCATCATATCCATCAAATCTGCCATGACCGAAGCTCGGAGCTCCAAATCAAAGTGAGATTCTACACGCTGTTTAGTAACAGTCTTGGCAACACCCTTGCTATGGCGGCCTTCAAACTGCCTTGACAAAAGATTTCCAAGCCATCGCTCGAGAAGAGGAATTATACCGCGAAGGAAGAACAGCCATACCCTCCAAGCAGGAGCCCAGAAACCACATCCAGGACCTTTGCCGACTGACCCAGAGTTAAATCGGTAATAAATGAGATGTTTCAAGTCCTTGCACGACCGAATCTGGTGCATGAGTTTATATTTGTACCGGTACATTCCAGTCAATTGACCAACATGGTTGAAGGCATAAAGAATTCCATCAGCAAGCTGGAAGGCATCAATATTTCCCAAACGGTATTGCACTTGCGCATCAACAATTAACTTGGTCAAGCGGAGAATTTCTCGCATTAAGTGGAAAGCGTTTCCGAAGCGAGATTTCTTCCGTTCCTTGGTAGTCAACGTTTTCACTGGTTTAAGGTTGAAATTGTAATCCAAGTGCAGGTAGGTCAAGTTCTTTCGATGGATTAGCAAATTTAGCATGTTGAATCCCTGACGACAGACTTGAAGGCCAGCTTCCACCCAGTCGATCGTGGTTTGTTGGAAGAACTTGGTGCCTTTTAATGTTCTTAATAGGTTCTGCTTGTTCTGGGCTTTGGGCTTGCGCTTATGAAGCTCATTCAGCACATATGTTTTAAGTAGCTTCTGGTAGGATACCCTAACTTTAACTGGCTGACCCTGAGGACAATGTTCCAAATACCACTGTTTAACCAAAGGTACATCTTGTGCACGAACCATTCTTCCAGATCGGCGGTCAAATGGATAAGGGGCCCACCATAAGCTGATGGCAGATGCTGTCTCGGTTGTGTAGAGCTCTTCATCGGCTAAAAATGGCTCAACGGCGGCAGGCAGCTCGAAGTCGTCTTCGTCATTGCCAGGGCCAAAGATCTCGTCCTCATGGCTGACGGTTATGTTCTGGGGCGCAACAGATCGAGAAGATATGGGATTGATAATAGGATCGAAGTAGAAAGCGGGAAGGTTGGGGTCAGTTCTGACATAGACACCTTGAGGATGAGAGTACCATGAAATCTTAACACTTCTTGGCAGGGAGTTATAGAGGTATGGAAATGCGACTCTGTATTCTGTTCTTATTGGTGCACGAAATATAATACGGTCGATGGCATTGAATTCTCCAAAATCCTCATCATTGGGATCAATGTCCTTATAGAGAGGTTCAAATCTGGGGCCGCCAGGGATTGCGACATTTAGAGCCTTTGCAGTTAGAAAGCTATTCAGTTCAAACATGTGGAAATAATTCTTGTCCACGACATCACTGAGAAGCTGATGACTTAATCGGTACAAGGTAGCCATCTGTGGAAGAGTCAGGTTCCATTCCTTGTAACTTGGCCCATTGACATGAGGGGTGTCAAGCAACGGTCGATGGTCATAGAACCATTCAAAAACAGGGCTATCCTCGGCTTCATCCAGCTCCATTTGAATGGGTTCCAGAGGTTCCACGTCCTCGATATTCTCCGACCATGATAACGGAGGTTCCTCATCGTCAAAGGGTGGAAATCGCATACGTTTGAAGTGTCTTCTGTCACTCTTCTCACGTCGCATACACACCCACATTGACGCCCACTGCGCATGAAAAACTGGCTCTATAACTCGTGGTATCTCGTTAACCAGTGTTAGGCAACCGTTCACATGGTACAGTACTTTGACTTCCCTCGCGGACTCCCAAGGCATAGGCATGTTCTCTAGCAGCTTCAGCACCGCATGTGGCATAAACTTCAAAGCTCCAAGGTAGCTGCGCTTGTCACTGCTAAACTTCTTCTGTGACACGTCTCCAATATCTTTCACAATCTTTCGCAGATGTTCTGGCGGCATGTCATCCTTTTGAGACTGAACGAATCCTGCCTTTCTCTTCTCCCCAAAGCGATTGCGCTGGCTCCGGAGCCATTCTTTCTTCTTCTGCTCGAATTTAGTTGTCATCGGGTTTGGTGATGGTCGGTAACCTGGAGGTGGTGGAGCAAGAGGCATTGACGGCGGTGCTGCACCTCCCCATCCCGGGGGAGGAGGTGGAGGAAGAGACGCCATGGCGGGCAGTCCGGTTGCAAGGAAAGAAAATGTACAATTTCTTTATTCGTCTGAAAGATCGAATATAAAGTAGTGACCGGTTGAAGATTTCTATCTCACACCAGACATGGGGCTGTTTTTTTTGCCAGGCTCGCGGTTCGGTCCCGGAGACAAAATCGAATATTTAAAACAATGAAAAGAAGATGATGAATAAAAAAAATAAGGGTATACAATTGACACAAGAGTGTACAGCTTGGAGTGCGGTCGAAACACGTCCAAAGCGCTGTTCTGTCCTGGTCGTTTTTGCTTTGGTGAAAAAAAAGCTCAAGCCCGCGTCTTTTGCGTGTTTGCCTCTTTTGGGACTTCGGAATTTTAGTTTTCCCGAGAAGCGGACATCCCCCCGATATGGACTAGCGTAAGCTCGCCAAAGAGAAGCGCTGATCCCGTGACCTGGCCAACCCACACAAATCTTAGTTTCTTTTGAAAGTTTCTCGAAATTTGATATCGACGACCACGACGAAAAAGAAGACGACGTCGCCCAATTGTCACTCCAGTCCTCCCTTGATCTCACCAGCCGCTGAGATTGGAACACCGACACGATGACTTCCACACGTCTTCAATACGTAAGTTGAGGCTTTCGGTGTTTCTCGGTTGGTTTAAGAATGGGATGCTAATATGTATTTTCAATTTCTAGCGACGACGGAACCCGTACGTGCATAGCCAGGCGAATATCCTTGCGATTTATATGATTTCATTACAGTTCAAATAATTAATTCTGTTTCTGCGACTAGATACAACACGAGATCCAACAAGGTCCGTGTCATCAAGACCCCAGGCGGCAATCTTCGATACCTTCACATCAAGAAGAAGGCTGCTGCACCAAAATGCGGTGACTGTGGAATCAAGCTCCCAGGCGTGAGTAGCCCTAATTCAGCAGCCGTTAAAAGAATTCCCCGTGGTTGCAAATGGTCATTTCAACTTGGATATGGAGGGATCTTTTCAATGGGCGGTTTTATAATCATTATCATAAAATGT